TTTTTTTTTTTTTTTTTTTTTTTTTTTTTTTTTGAGACAGAATCTTGCTCTGTTGCCAGGCACCAGGCTGGAGTGCAGTAGCACAATCTCAGCTCACTGAAATCTCCGCCTCCTGGGTTCAAGCAATTCTCCTGCCTCAGCCTCCCTAGTAGCTGAGACTACAGGCGCACGCCACCACACGCAGCTAATTTTTTATATTTTTTAGTAGAGACGGGGTTTCACCCTGTTGGCCAGGATGGTCTCGATCTCTTGACCTTGTGATCCGCCTGCCTTGACCTCCCAAAGTGCTGGGATTATAGGCGTGAGCCACCATGCCCAGCTGAAATTTTTTTTACATACGTAGACATAGGCTATGTCTGGAAGTGACTAGAAAGCAGGTTAACTGGATATATTATTCCTAGAAAGAAAGAAAATGTCTTGAGGCGTAAGTGTTAGACCTAGTTGAATGTCCTGGAGGTAGAAAGGGAACCCCTCTCATATCTTTCTTCTCTTTCTCTCCATGGTACTAGGTTGGAGCCTCCATTCCCTGCCTTGGTACCAAAGTCTTGCTTGGTAGCAGAAGCAGCTGTCAGCAAGCTCCTGCTTTCAGCCTCTGAGTTCCAAGTTCCTGGGTTGGATGAGCTGGATGGTGTGACAGCAGCATGCCCCTGCCCACAGAGCAGCCCTCAGGAACAGAAAGAGGTAAGTGTAAAGTGCTGGTGGGGTCAAGTGACAGTGGCATTGGAGGTGGCCATTGTTAACTCACATCACGTGATAGTTACAGACTGGCCCCTGAGTATCTTCACGAACCACTTTTAGTGTCAGCAGAGTTCTGGAGAGTACTAAGCCAGGAGTTTTTCTCTTGGCCAGTAAAAGACACAGTGGATATTTTAATCTGCATTGTTTTCCAGATACTTTTTTCTTGGCAACAGCATATAACAGTGTTTAGAGAATTGGACCAAAGAGTTGCTTTGTGCATTTAAAGAAGATGAGTGGGCCGGGCACGGTGGCTCACACCTGTAATCCCAGCACTTTGGGAGGCCGAGGCGGGTGGATCACGAGGTCAAGAGACCGAGACCATCCTGGTCAACATGGTGAAACCCCGTCTCTACTAAAACTACAAAAAATTAGCTGGGCATGGTGGCGCGTGCCTGTAATCCCAGTTACTCTGGAGGCTGAGGCAGGAGAATTGCCTGAACCCAGGAGGCGGAGGTTGCGGTGAGCCGAGATCGCACCATTGCACTCCAGCCTGGGTAACAAGAGCGAAACTCCGTCTCAAAAAAAAAAAGAAGATGAGTGGATAGTGATGATGTTTAATTTTGCAACATCTGTTGTCTTTGACAGTTGCAGACTTTCATGTTGACAGTCTCCATATCTGAACTGAATGTATAGTTCTGGTTTTAATGATAAAAAGGGAGTAGTTGCTTAAAACACAGCAGGGGCCAGGCACGGTGGCTCACACTTGTAATTTTATCACTTTGGGAGGCTGAGATGGGCAGATAGCTTGAGTCCAGGAGTTCAAGAACAGCCTGGGCAACATGGTGAAACCCTGTCTCTACAAAAAATATAAAAATTAGCTACCTGTGGTGGTACACACCTGTGGTCCCAGCTACTCGGGAGGCTGAGAAGGGAGAATTGCTTGAGCTGGGGAGGCAGAGGTTGTAACAGTGAGCCCAGATCGCGTCACTGCATTCCAGCCTCAGTGACAGAGTGAAACCCCATCTTAAAAAAAATAAATAAGAGCCAGGCGCAGTGGCTCACGCCTGTAATCCTAGCACTTTGGGAGGCTGAGGCAGGCGGATCATGAGGTCAGGAGTTCGAGACCAACCTAACCAACATGGTGAAACCTGGTCTCTACTTAAAAATATAAAAATTAGCCAGGTGTGGTGGTGCATACATGTAATCCCAGCTACTTGGGAGGCTGAGGCAGGAGAATTGCTTGAACCTGGGAGGTGGAGATTGCGGTAAGCCGAGAGCATGCCATTGCACTCCAGCCTGGGCGAGAGAGTGAGACTCCACCTCAAAAAATAAAAAAAATAAATAAATAAAAGACCAGGAGTGGTGGCTCACACCTGTATTCCCAGCACTTTGGGAGACTGAGGTGGTCAAATCACGAGGTCAAGAGATCAAGACCATCCTGGCCAAAATGCAGAAACCCTATCTTTACTAAAAATACAAAAAAATTAGCTGGGTGTAGTGGCACACTCCTGTAGTCCCACCTACTCAGGAGGCTGAGGCAGGAGAATCACTTGAACCTGGGAGGCAGAGGTTGCAGTGAGCCGAAATCACACCACTACACCCCAACCTGGCAACAGAGCAAGACTCCGTCTAAAAAATAAATAAATAAAAAGGCCAGACATGGTGGCTCATGTCTGTAATCCCAGCACTTTAGGAGGCCAAGACAGGCGGATGGATCACCTGGGATCAGGAGTTTGAGACCAGCCTGGCTAGCATGTTGAAACCCCACCTCTACTAAAAATACAAAAATTAGCTGGGTGTGGTGGCACACGCCTGTAGTCCCAGCTACTCAGGAGGCTGCAGCAGGAGAATTGCTTGAACCCAACAGGCGGAGGTTGCAGTGAGCCAAGATTGCACCACTGGACTCCAGCCTGGGTGACAGAGTGAGACTCCATCTCAAAAATAAGTAAATACATAAAAATTTAAAAACTAAGGGCCGGGTGTGGTGGCTCACGCCTGTAATCCAAGCACTTTGGAGGCCAAAGCGGGTGGATCACCTGAGGTCGGGAGTTTAATACTAGCCTGACCAACATGGTGAAACCTCGTCTTATTAAAAAAAAAAAAAAAAAAAAAAAACAGCAGGAATATAAGTGGGAGCTTTGTCATAAACTACTTACTAGAATCATCTCTGAAGTGAGGTAGCAATGTCTTAAGTGTCAAGACAAGGGACTTTATGTATTTAAAATGTCTTACAGTATGCCGGGGTGATGGCATATGCCTATAGTGCCAGCTACCACAGAGGCTGAGGCAAAAGGATCACCTGAGCCGAGTAGCTCCTGGCCTGCCTGGGCAATATAGCAAGACTCCATTTAAAAATAGAAGTTGCCAGGTATGGTGGCTTTTACTTGTTGTAACCCCAGCACTTTGGGAGGCCAAGGCAGGAGGATCATTTGAATCCAGGAGTTCAAGGCTGCAGTGAGCTATGATTGCACCACTGCACACCAGCCTGGACAACAGAGTAAGACCTTGTCTGAAAAAATATATAAATAAATAAAATGTCTTACAACTTGACCGTCTTTTTTCTTAATCCTTAAAAATAGGCTGAGCCAGAGAAGAGGCCAAAGAAAGTCTCACAGATTCGCATCCGGAAAACTATTCCTAGGCCAGATCCTAATCTTACCCCCATGGGCCTTCCTCGACCCAAAAGGTGAGCTCCTTCTCTGATACAAGCTGGGTTCACTTTTTTCAAAAACTGTTTGTTAGAATATAATTACCCTTTAAATGGTCTTACAGTCTGAGCCATTTATTAATCTTCTAAGAATTTATCCTAAAGATTTCATTAGTGATGTCGCTAGATATTTATATGCAAGTACATTTTAATACATTGCATACGTAATCTTAGTTCACCCTCCAGTGTCACTAGGAGGGACCTGTGTTAGGCCGCAGCATTGATCCTGGCACATGTGGTTTCTGTCTGTCACAGGATTTACTCAGCCCCAGAGCCCAAGCCCTAATACTCTGTGCACTAAACTGGAAAAGGAACTAAAAGTCCTGAGTTTAGTTTCTTTTAGAAGTGATCTTCAGGGCCGGGCGTGGTGGCTCAAGCCTGTAATCCCAGCACTTTGGGAGGCCGAGGCGGGTGGATCACGAGGTCAAGAGATCGAGACCATCCTGGTCAACATGGTGAAACCCCATCTCTACTAAAAATGCAGAAAATTAGCTGGGCATAGTGGTGTGTGCCTGTAATCCCAGCTTCAGGATAACCTGCCTGAACCCAGGAGGTGGAGGTTGCAGTGAGCCGAGATCGCACCATTGCACTCCAGCCTGGGTAACATGAGTGAAACTCCGTCTCAAAAAAAAAAAAAAAAAAATGATCTTCAGACTTATACTTTCTTGTGATCAATTTTGCTCCTCCTTTCTTATCAGCAAATGGAACCCTAACAGTGGACTTCCCTGTAAAATATGAATAAGAATTCCCAACACTTATATTTCTATACAGTTTCTGTACAGTCTAATTGAGAGAAGAATCTATTATAGCATTTCACACAACACAAATAAAAAATCATTTGTTAGGATCATGATTGATGTTCCCCTTCTTTCCCGTGATCTTTATCTTAATTTTTTATATTTTTGTCTTACGGATATTTTGTTCATCTATCGTATGTTTTTTCAAGAGAAATTTTAAAAATATTTCAGGCTGGGTGCTGTGGCTCACGCCTGTAATCCCAGCACTTTGGGAGGCCTAGGCGGGCGGATCACAAGGTCAAGAGATCGAGACTATCCTGGCCAACATGGTGAAACCTCGTCTCTACTAAAAATACAAAAAATAGCCGGGCATGGTGGCACGTGCCTGTGGTCCCAGGTACTCGGGAGGCTGAGGCAGAAGAATCGCTTGAACCCAGGAGACGGAGGTTGCAGTGAGCCGAGATTGCGCCACTGCACTCCAGCCTGGCGACAGCAAGACTCCGTCTCAAAAAAAAAAAAAAGACGCATCCTGCTCCTGTAATTAAACCTTGAGCTTGGCATTTGAAGTCCTGAACTCCTTAAAAAAATTTTTAAAATTTAAAATATTACAGATATTGGAGAGCAAATAGTATTTATTACTCAAATGAAATAGGATTTATTATCAGTTGTATTCTCTTGGCATTTGTATGTCTGAAGAACCTTGTTTACATAAGTAGCTAGGAGAGGAAAGAGTTTTAATATAGTAAAGTCATTCAATTCTTTCCACTTCTTTCAAGTTACACGCCAAAAAATCACAGAGATCTATCATATGTAATGCAAACAAGAGATTGAAAAATACTCCGTCACAAAGGTTCTGTTCTGTTACCCAGGCCTTGGTTGGCAGTTACTGTCTCAGTGTCTGGAACCAACACCAGAAAGTTCCAGCAAATGTCAAATGCCAGATATTCTTTCCCATATACTGAAAGGAGGTTGAGAAAAATACGATTTTTAATAAATTTTGCCTAAACCTAGAATGTCTTTTGATAAAATGCTTTTAATCAAATGTACTTTTGTCAGAAAAACAACCACCACCACAACAACAAACCTGAAGCTGCAGATTTTTGTACATTAAGTTTCTGGAAAAACCTGGGCATATAATTTAATTGATGAAAGCAATTTATTATTTAGGTCCATCAAGCAAAACATTCTTCCTTACTTACGTTTTCCAGTTCAAGTAAATATGTTAATTTATCCTTTTAAAATGATATAAATCACTGAGAAATAAATTATGGAGTGCAAATTGTAAAGTAGATTTCTAAAAGCCTTAAAGTCATTATTTATTTTAATAATGCAAGTTGACTATCTCTTATCCAAATTCTTGGGACCCAAAATGTTTCAGACTTTAGATTTTTTCAGATTTTGGAATATTTGCATTATACTTACAGCATCCCTCATCTGAAAATCCAAAATCCTAAGTGCTGTAATGAGCATTCCCACTGAACATGACCTTTGAGCACCATGTTGGCACTCAAAGTTTCAGATTTTGGAGCATTTCATATTTGGGATTTTCAGATTATGGAAACTCTTAATAACCCAATAGTGCTAACCTGTGCATTATTGAAACAACACGAGGCCTGGCACATTGGCTTACACCTGTAATCCCAGCACTTTGGGAAGCTGAGGTAGTTGGATCATTTGAGGTCAGGAGTTTGAGACCAGCCTGGCCAACATGATGAAACCTCATCTTTACTAAAAATACAAAAATTAGCTGAGGGTTAGTGGCACACACCTGCAATCAAAGCTAATCAGTCTCAAAAAAAAAAAAAATCAAAAATTAGCAAGGCGTGGTGGTAGGCACCTGTGATCCCAGCTACTGGGGAGGCTGAGGCAGGGGAATTGCTTAAACCCGGGAGATGAAGGTTGTAGAGAGCCGAGATTGTGCCATTACACTCCAGTCTAGGCAACAAGAGCAAAAGTCCTCTCAGAAAATTAAATAAATGTATAAAATAAGCCAGCTGTGGTGCCAACATACCTGTGGTCCCAGCCACATGGGAGGCAGAGGCAGGAAGATCTCTTGAGCCCAGCCCAGGAATTTGAGGCTACAGTGAGCCATATTTGTGCCACTGCAATCCAACCTGGGTGACAGAGCAAGGCCCTGTCTCTACAAAAACATATTGGTCTAGATTAGATTGTGGTGATCATGAATAATCTTGCGAATATTTTAAAAATCACTGAATTGTACATTTTAAATGAATGAATTTTCTGGTATGTGAACCTGGGCTCCTTGGAAAGTAATTATAGGTCTGGGGCAGGAAATGAATAAGATGAATGTGTCTTGTCATACCAGAAAGTAGCAGAGCTCTCAGAGACTCCTAGGGTCATTTCAAAGGGATTCAGGAGCCAATTTTTGTTTGGTTGGTTTTTTTATTTTTTAATTTTTAATTTTTTTTTTTTTTTTTTTTTTTGAGACGGAGTTTCGCTCTTGTTACCCAGGCTGGAGTGCAATGGCGTGATCTCGGCTCACCGCAACCTCCGTCTCCTGGGTTCAGGCAATTCTCCTGCCTCAGCCTCCTGAGTAGCTGGGATTACAGGCACACGCCACCATGCCCAGCTAATTTTTTGTATTTTTAGTAGAGACGGGGTTTCACCATGTTGACCAGGATGGTCTCGATCTCTTGACCTTGTGATCCACCACGCCCGGCCTTTTTTTTTTTTTTTTTTTTTTTTTTTATAGAGAAGGTGTCTCTTTGTTGCCCAGGCTGGTCTTGAACTCCAGGGCTCAAACAATCCTCTTGCCTCAGCCTCCCAAGTAGCTGGGACTACCGTTGGGAGCTGCTGTACCTGGCTCTCAAGAATCAATTTGTAGAGACTCCCTCTGGCCACAGAAGAGACCAGCTTGAGCCTCAAAAGGAATAAGTTCATTAGATTAAAACATATCAAATATAAACCCAGTAGTTCATAATGATACTTAAAAAAATTAAAAACCATTGGCCATCTTTGCAAGATACTGGGGAACCAATTCATTGTTTTAGAAGGTGGTAATGAAAGGAAAAAGCAAGCATATGGCCTGTTTTTACTATGTAAGCTGTAACTCAGTTTACTGTATAAATTGATAGGCGTGAAGGATTGGGGTGTGTGTGTGTGTGTGTGTGTGTGTGTGTGTGTGTGTGTGTGTTTTGGTTGTTTTTTTGTTTTGTTTTGTTTTTTAAGAAAGAGGGCCTTTGTCACCCAGGCTGTACCCAGCCTCGAACTCCTAGACAACAGAAAAAGACTTCATCTCTAAAAAAGAAAAAAAAAGGCCGGGCGTGGTGGCTCAAGCCTGTAATCCCAGCACTGTGGGAGGCCAAGGCGGGTGGATCACGAGGTCAAGAGATCGAGATCATCCTGGTCAACATGGTGAAACCCCGTCTCTACTAAAAATACAAAAAATTAGCTGGGCATGGTGGTGCGTGCCTGTAATCCCAGCTACTCAGGAGGCTGAGGCAGGAGAATTGCCTGAACCCAGGAGGCGAGGTTGCGGTGAGCCGAGATCGCGCCAT